AAAAAAAAAAAAAAAATTGTTTATTATTTGCTCTGTATTTAAACCAAAAAGAAAAGTTAAAATCCATCTCAATATTTTCTTCTTGTTATTTTTTCCCCTCAATTTTATATTTCTCCATGCAAATACTTGATTACATGAATTCATTGACAGTAATTTGGTAAAATGAACGTACCTTACATGCTTTAATAATTTCACGTTCAAAATTATCTCAACATGCGAGAAAATGATCCACAGAATCTAGTTAAATCTTTCGACATGAGATTCTTTTAAAGGTATTAATGAAAGAGATATTTGAATATAAGATTTTTTTTTTTGTGGTTTATTTGGATTTTTTATTTTGTTGGTTAATTTTAAAAAATAAAGTAAGTATTTTATTAGTGGAATTTTTAATTTATATTAATAGTTACTTACTTACTTTCATGTAAAAGTATGAATGAAATGATATGAAATGATGGTCAGTTAAAATTATCTAAATAAATAAATAGTAGATTAAAAAAAATATATATATATTTTTTTTTTTTTTTTGGAAAAATATTGTATCCAAGCATGCTCTAAGCAACACAAAGACTAGTCATGATCAAAGTCCCAGCTCGGGGAATATGCGTGACTGAGTGTTCAAAACATTGTAGTATAAAGCTATAAATAGTGGTTTCTGAGTAGTTTATCGTTTGTGGTGACCAATAATACTATCAATGCAGCTTCATCGCAGCAAATGATTCTGCAGCATCCATAGCAGCTTTAACTTGGGCAATGTCGCTTCCCTGTCAATGGAGTGGAAGCACAATAGGTTCAAGCAAAATATTATTTACAGAAAAAATAAAAAAAAAAATAAAGCACCAAAATAATTTGTCCTATAATAAGAAATAAATATAAGTTTTAAAAATGTTATCTATATATGTAAATATAAATGGGCTATTGGAGCTAACCGGTTAACCTACGGGCTATTATCCTAACTGACTCGGACTAAATGGTCAAGGCAACAAAGAATATTTGATTTAAATGGATTGGAAATAGAGGACCTAACTCCATTTTTTTCATTTTCGGGCTAAAGGGGCCAGCTCTACGGGCTTTGGCAGATTTAACATCTCTATGCACCAGGGAGTGATACTAGTAAGTACCAAAACTTGTTCGAAGGGTTAAACGAACATCTCTATGCACCAGGGAGTGATACTAGTAAGTACCAAAACTTGTTCCAAGGGTTAAATGGATAGGAACGGCGGATGAAATTTGCATTTTGGAAATACCTTGATAAAGGATATCAATCAAAGAGACTCCAGGGAAAGTTGTTTAAGATAAATCACAAAGGATAAAATTCAAAAACACAAAAAAACTTGTATCAAACCACCTAACGAAAAGTGTATATCAAATAAGGCAAAGATTTCAACTTTTTTGGGCTTATTTTTAGTTTGTTATTTCTAGAGTTTTCCTTTTTTAGTAACTTTTTTAGATTAATATTAATCTTTGCTGACCTGGCCTTGAGCAAGACCACCTTTGCCTCCACCACCCTTTCCATTGATTAAGTCCAACACATTTTTCAACCATTCTGTCACCTTCAGTTGCTTGTACTTGCCATCGTGCTCCGGAACACCAGCGCACACAAAGGCCTTGTTCGCCTTCTCGTCCCTGCTAATCACCATCATTGCCAACCCCTATTTTTTCTCACAACAGATCACAACAATCAATTATTTATAACAGAATTAGCTAAACTTTCACCAAAAGTAGGAGGAATAACTAAATAGAATTGAGAATTAGTGGTTAGAAAACAAAAAACACCCACCTTCTGCTCCATGACTTTGACAACTGCCTCTCGAATGGCAGCAGTATCTGAACCAACCTCAACAAGGGAAATGCAGTAAGCCTTTCCACTCGATGAAGCAGTTTCAGCTGTCTGGACGGCTACTTCAATGGCTTTCCGCATATGCTCTTCAGCCATCTTCTTTTTGGCTTTTATCACTTGACTCTGGGAAGAAGCAGCAACAACAAATACAGATTTATTTTCATCTTCTTTTTCATTTCATGTCATACTCAAAACAATAACAGGACCAATAATAGCCAATCCTCATGTTTCACCAGGATTTACAGATTCAAAATAGAAAAATAAATTTTGGCTTCTATGCATATACTTGAATAAATGAATTACTTTAGGGCATGTTTGAGGGGCTGGATTAACCAGAATATAAACTATCCTATACGGTTAACTTGGAAAATGTATCCTACTTTTATTTTTTTGTGGATGGTAAAAATACTTGGGATAATTATCTGCCCATCACTTAATTGGTCGTTTCAGAAGTTGAGAATGGAATAATATAATTTAAATTCCTCATATACCCTTGCCATTACCCAAAAATGGTCAGTTCAATAATTAGGTTGAGGGCAGTGAAGTCTTTTGGTCATTGGATTAATGAGGTGATATTAATCATACCCTACCCCCCTTGGATTCATCGTCCAAAAAAAAAAATACTCCCAAGTCTCGCGTGCAGGCTTCTATCTATTACATAAATAAGAGTGATTAAAATTCCTATGAAGTCTATCAAAATCCGCAAATGTGCCGTAAGAGTACTGAAATGACAACCGTACAAGTGTGCAGTAAGTAAAAAGAACTATTGATGCACTGTTCACCAATATTTATACCAATGTATTTTATTATCATACACTTAATTACCTTTCCTGCAATCAAATCTGTGCATAACTAATTTCCATAAAATCCCTTTAACGCATATAGTAATACAAGAGCAGACGTATACAAGCAGTGACAAGTACCTGTAGGACCGATATTTTGGCCTTGAGATCAGCTTTCTTTGAGGCAGGTATGGATGCTCCTTCCACGCGATTATTTAATGAAGCTACTTTCTGAAAATCAGCAAAGGTGAGAATTTAGCTTATTTTGTAGAAAATAATCAAAAACACAAGGAGATCATTCTCGGAAATGCAGAAAAAGAACATCAGCTAAAGAAATACTCAGAAATTATCAAGAAAGCTTCAATGAACATGCCCTCTGTCTGTGGGGAGATTAGAGAGGGCTGTTCATTCTCAATTCTCAAGGATGACGACATAAGGAAAATAAATGGTTGCACCACAGGCAATTGGGGACAAATATTATAGAGAAGAAAATACTTGAAAAAGAACCAAACATCCAATAATTAACTGCCAAAATGAGCAGTATAACAGAAAGCAATCAATTCCCATCAATTATTCCAACTACACAGCAAGAAAATAAGCAGTCTCCATAATTTCAAAACAACTTAAGAAGCGTGAACCTGCTCCAGAAGGCTTCCTTCAGCTCTGGATGCTTCATCTACTTCTTGCTCAATCGCGGAGGCCAGTTCCAAGGCTTTATAAGCACAATCCATTGTCACACCTGTAACTCTACGGATTCCTTTAGCAATCCCTTCTTCTGATAATAGCACAAAGGCTTTGGCGTCCATTGTATTTGATATATGTGTCCCTGAACAAGTATGGTTGAATTTACTATCACAACAGAAATGATCCTCTCCTCAAAGCAACAAATTTTCTTGAAACTTACCCCCGCACAGCTCAGCAGAGATTGATAACCACTCTTCATTATCAGGGTTTGCAAGAAGATCCTCCACTTTGCGTCCGATGGCGACAACACGAACAGGGTCAGGATATACCTACACAAAACGATAAAAATAACAATGGGCAAAAAGAATCAAACAGTAGAATAGCCACTCAAACTTTTTGGTGGTACTTATGGAACTTTCCATACACGAACGACAAGTTATAAGTTTACCTCTCCAAAAACAGCCCTTAGTCCATTTATACGTTTTGCATCTTCCAGCTTGGTCTCCTTTGAATACACATTCAATTTAGACTCAATTTGTTCATTTACAATAAACTCGATTTTTTTCAGCTCCTCTGGCTTCACAGGCTTTCCTGTTTAGGATTTTTTTAGTTAGTTGCTTCTATAGGATATGCCTAACTACAACAACAAGCTTACCATGAGAAAAGTCAAATCTCAATTTTTCAGGAAGAACAATAGAGCCCTTCTGGTCTACATGATTACCAAGCACTTCCTGCAATTATTTCAATGCACTGTGAAGGTTAAAAATTTAGGAATAAATAAAAGAATTTCAAGACTGGAAGCTTGCAGAGTTAATGTGCCTTACTCTTAGAGCATAGTTTAGTATGTGTGTACAGGTGTGATTTGGAGCAATTAGCATCCTTCTATCGTAGTTTACCTGCCAAACCCCAATGTAAGACTACTTACAAGGACAAACAAACAGCAACTAATATAATATCGTATGTTGAACAATCTCACAGAAAAAGGTAAGCACGAGGTAAGGACTATCACCTTACACACTACTTTATCACCAATGTACACTCTGCCAGTCTTTCCGCTAAAAGAGCCAATATGAACAACAAATCCACCATAGATCTGAACATTACTAACTTCAAAAATGCCATCAGATCCCTCAATTATTCCAGTATCGAATATCTACAAGACAAAATACTGAGTGAGTGTCTGAATGATACTGGCACTGCGCTCTAAACGGCAGAAGCGTCATCTCATTTGCACCCAAACCAAATCTAATAAAAAAGGAATAATTGTAGCAAAATTGAAACACCCCCAAAAGTGAAAATTTCACCAAGATTCATATGCAAACAAGGAATAATTAATGAAATAATATAATACAACTATAAATTGGAAGACTTGGAAATATAAATATTTTTTATTTCTTGCAGAACCACTCCACATGTATCTAGATTAAGGTTATTACTTAATACCTCTAAGGTAAAGATTAAACCCTTATGCAGCTGATCATTTACACTGGCTTCAAGGCGAAAGACAAATCAAACAATCTTGGATACTGATGCATGTTTCGTAGATGATTCATTTTTCCAGAATGAAGTTGAATTTCTTTGACAACAAACATTGAATTGAAGCCATGTCACTAGAGCATCTACCCCGAAGTTCATCAACCCCAATGGTGAATGGTGGCAGGCACGACAGACTCAAAAATATAATTTTTATGTAGATGATACGTCCAAAAATATATATAAACATGTATAACACCACAGTAAAAGCTAAAAACATGTCAATAATTACATAAACATAACATAGTTTACATAAGAAATAACTGAAAATCAAAACAAAACAAATAAACAAAAAGCTTATAGGAGAGCGAAAAATAATTTTTTACAAGAAAAATCAGAAAACATAAACAACTACATAAAGAACTGAAAATTGAAGGATGGCAAAAAAATAGAGTTTCTTTTTTTATTTAATGTAAAAAAAAATACTGTAAAGCTGAACAAATTAAAGGCAGCCAAATGTCAATCTCAAAAGTATAAAGACCAAAAATAACTGGAGAGAGACGGGAGGAGAAAGAAAGGTGGGGACTGGGGAAAATAAAACAATAGAGAACAGGGGAAAAAAAAAAAAAAAAAAA